GGTGTACCAATACCCAGAGCTCTAAACAGTATAGCTGCTAGGATATGGAAATTGGGGCTGTTGACGCCTGCGGCGTCGGCCTCAAAACGTCCTATAGCAAAGCGGGCTAACGTCTGGTCGATCCGTTTTCCCGCATGGATGCAAAAATCGATGAGAGCCGTTCTCGAGTTGAGTCGGCGTTTCTGTTCCCGGTTTTCGAACCTCGTGCCGAGGAGGAACATGATGTAGGTGACGCCATTGGTGTGGCGTCCATCGATATTAACCCCGAAGTTGGTCACTGCGGGGGGAACTTTCATGGCCATGGAACTTGCAAGCCCTCCCAGATCACGCTGTAAAGACGCAGCCTGTTTGGAGGGAGTCACATTGCCTGTGGCCACGTTGATCCAGGCATGCACCTCGCGAACGAATTCGCGGAAAGCGCACGCTACCGGCAGGGCCTTAATGGGGGACGGTGGTGCGTGCGTCGTCTTCACCGCGCTGCACATGTCCAACATCACATCCGCTAGAGACCCATAGAAGGCCCAAAATGGTCATACCGATCCAACGGCCTCGTAGGTCGTAGTCGGTTACTTGGGGCTGTGATTTCTGAGGTGACGTCGTGGTTAGCTTGCGTGGCGGTGGAGACGGCACAGTATCAGATCGCATGTTGCTACGCATCTTGCCTTCGGAAAGTACAAGTTGGAGCAGGACGGTGGACTTCAGGAGTTAGCAGCGCAGAGAGGTAGGACCCATGTCGGAGACCCCCGCACGAGCAGAGGTAGTATTGAAAGTGTCCTTGCGGTTGTGCGTGTATATGTACATTCCTCCGCGCCGAGCCACTGCACCCTGATCCTCCACCGTGCCAGTCGTCTACGAGATAGTGCCGTGGATGGTGAGGAATGATGCTAGAATTGACCACCATAGAACAGGCGCCGCTATCAAGTTTGAAGGGGGTGGGAGACCCAACCCGAAGCTTCGCGCAAGGCGAGGCCAATATCCAATTATGTTATACCGTAGTAGCGATAGTCCCAAGAGCAGGAGTGAGTCGCGTGAACGACGGGCCATGTCAATGCTGTTTCCGGTCCCAATGGCAAGTCGTGTGCCTCGCGATGACGTGCAGTCATATCTTGGCGGCCGGCCGCTTGAGCCCAAACGGCCCCGGACAAACGTTCCCTCCTCTCGCCTTTGCCCAGCCTCCTGTAGAGTGGGCAGGCCAGGTGTTGGGGAGCGTTGTACTTTCTTTCGCACCTGCACCACCGCGAAGCAACTTCTCAATGGCCTCCAGGCATTTGCTGGTGTCGTCCTTGATGTTGGACTTGCCTCCGAAGACCACCTTGTCCCCAGCTGGGGCGTCGCCCAACACAACCTCGTTGTGGGCGGTCCAGGCAGCCTTCCTGATACGAAGCGGCGCTTCATTCCAGCACTGACAGCGGATCCTCGATGCCCAGTTCGCCGAGGCTGAGCACCGTCCACACGCCCATGTTGGCCGCCGCGGCCCGCGAAGAACCGCAGGATTTTGAGGCGGCGGCGGCCCTGGCGCCATGCTGGCACCCTCGTCGTGAAAGATGCTCCCCCAGGAGCTCACTGGAACGGAAAGCTGGCCGAGGCAGCCAGGCCTAGGAAGGGGCTGCCCTTCACCTCGGCCTCGGGCCTCTGGAGTCGGGACGGGAGGTAAGCTCCGTCTTGAGCCCAAATGGCTACGGGGAAGAAAAAGGGAGTTGGGAGGAGGAGGGCGAGTACGTTGGAGGGGAAAATGAATAATCGTTGACGATGGGGCGGACTTGGTGACCTCTTACAAAACCGTGTTGGATTTCAGGTTTATGCTGGAGCCCTCGCCGTTTGAGTACACTGCGAGCTCACAGATCAGTTGAACAACACAGGCGGGCGCCTGACCGATCTGGAGGATGAACAAGAGGACGAAGAGCCGGGGCAGGGGGATGACGAAGAGAAATAAGAAGAATAATATTAATGATAAGAAGAAAAATAATAATAATAATGATAATACTGATAATACTAATAATAATAATGATAATACTAATAATAATAATAATAAACATAAAAATGCGAATAATAATAATAATACGAATACTAATAAGAAGAATTATACTACTAAAAACAATAATAATACTAATAATAATAACACTATTAATAATAAGCAGAAGAAAAAGAAGAGGACTAGAGGGGGAGGACGAAGCATACCGAGGGGCCGGGCCACGAATTCGTGAAGGCTAGGGGTATACGTCTCCCTGCAGATGGTACCACTGCACGGAGGAGACCGAGAGGCACAGAGAACGAAAGAAAGAGAGAGAGAGAGAGAGAGAAAAAAAAAGAAATTAGCCTGGCGAAGAACCCAACCATATGCAGTTGTCAGTACCGCAGCTGCGGGTTTCATCTTCAATGGAACTCCCCATAGGATTACGGAACGTGTGAGGGGTGTGCCGAGATGGGTGCCACTGGGGCATTCGGCGAAGCTCCCTATGGGGACATGAAACACTCGCGGGGCGTGCCGACATGGGTGGCGGAAACGCATGTGCGGGCCGCCACTGGGGCCTCCAGTGGAGCTCCCTATGGGTCCCCGAAACATGATGCTGCTGCGGGGGGGGGCCGGGATGGGTGGCGGAGACGCATGTAAGCGCCGCTACTGGGGCCTTCGGTGGAGCTCCCTATGGGGCCACGAAGCGCGTGAGGGGTGTACTGGGATGTGTGGCGGGGACGCATGTGAGCGCCGCCACTGGGGCCTTCGGTGCAGCTCTCTATGGGGCCACGAAACGTGTGAGGGGTGTGCCGAATTGGGTGCGGGTGGTGACGCATGCGGGCGGTGCCACTGGGGCCTTCGGTGGAGCTCCCTATGGGGCCACGAAACCTGTTGTTGTGAGGGGCGTGCCGGGATGGGTGGCGGGGACGCATGTGAGCGCGGCCGCTGGGGCCTTCGGTGGAGCTCCCTATGTGGGCCACGAAACGTGTGAGGGGTGTGCCGAATTGGGTAGGTGTGGGTGACGCATGTGAGCGCCGCCACTGGGGCCTCCGGTGGATGATGGGGCCACGAAACCTGTCAGGGATGTGCCGAAATGGGTGTGCGGGACGCATGCGCATGTGAGCGCCGCCACTGGGGCCTTCGGTGGAGCTCCCTATGGGGCCACGAAACGTGTGAGGGGTGTGCCGAAATGGGTGTGGGGACGCATGCGGACGGCATGGGGCCTCGGGGACTCCCTATGGGGCCACGAAACGTGTGAGGGGTGTGCCGAAATGGGTGTGGGGACGCATGCGGGCGGGCCCTGGGCCTTCGGTGGAGCTCCCTATGGGGCCACGAAACGTGTGAGGGGTGTGCCGAAGTGGGTGTGGGTGACGCATGCGGCGCGGGCACTGGGTCCTTCGTGGAGCTCCCTATGGGCCACGAAACGGTGAGGGGTGTGCCGGGCACTGGGGCCTTCGGTGGGGCTCCCTGGCCGCGGGCACTGGGGCCTTCGGTGGAGCTCCCTATGGAGCCACGAAACGTGTGAGGGGTGTGCCGAATGGGTGTGGGGGACGCATGCGGCCGCGGGCACTGGGGCCTTCGGTGGAGCTCCCTATGGAGCCACGAAACGTGTGAGGGGTGTGCCGAAATGGGTGTGGGGGACGCATGCGGGCCGCGGGCACTGGGGCCTTCGGTGGAGCCCCCTATGGAGCCACGAAACGTGTGAGGGGTGTGCCGAAATGGGTGTGGGCATGACTGCAGCTGCGGGCCGCGGGCCACTGGGGCCTTCGGTGGAGCTCCCTATGGAGCCACGAAGCGTGTGAGGGGTGTGCCGAAATGGGTGTGGGTGACGCATGCGGGCGCGGGCGCGGGCACTGGGGCCTTCGGTGGAGCTCCCTATGGAGCCACGAAACGTGTGAGGGGTGTGCCGAAATGGGTGTGGGTGACGCATGCGGCCGCGGGCACTGGGGCCTTCGGTGGAGCTCCCTATGGAGCCACGAAACGTGTGAGGGGTGTGCCGAAATGGGTGTGGGTGACGCATGCGGGCGCGGGCACTGGGGCCTTCGGTGGAGCTCCCTATGGAGCCACGAAACGTGTGAGGGGTGTGCCGAAATGGGTGTGGCTGACGCATGCGGGCGCGGGCACTGGGGCCTTCGGTGGAGCTCCCTATGGAGCCACGAAGCGGTGTACTGGGTGGGTGAAGAGGAGAGGAGAAGAGGAGGGGAGGAGAGGAGGAGAGGAGAGGAGAGGAGAGGAGAGGAGAGGAGAGGAGAGGAGAGGAGAGGAACGCGGGGCACCGTCTCTTCAAAACGAGGACCCAACACCACAGGATGGTTGGGAAAAAAAGAGAGGGATAGGGAGAGGGAAGGGGGAGGGAGGACGGAGAGAATCCTCGACGACAGGGTCCGATGCCTCGCTTGCGCCCCCTCCCTCCTGCCACTTCTGGCAGAATCCACTTCAAAAATCGGCCCCTGCACCCCTGCGTGGGTCCATCCCGACGAATTTCCCTCCTGGGATCTATCTTTGAAAGTCCCGGGGAGCGCCACGGGGGCTCCAAATGCCAGGCTGAGCAGCTACCGGGGCACGTTCTGACCAGGATCTCGAGGCGAATCCGGCCGTGGCGACGATGGACGGATTGCGGCATTGGTAACCTAACGCGGGCATGGCGACCCCGACCCCCCATTTTGTGGGGATTCGGCTGGGCAAAAAGCCGATGCCAAAATTGGGGATATACGATCGGGGGCTCATCCGGCGTCCGAAACGCGCCCTGGGGATGCCTCCCCGAACCTCGCACTTTTATCCAAACGGATCGATGTTTCGATGCGAACTTGGAAATCGGGGGTGATAAATCGCATGCGATTTAGTCGGACCTAGGCCAGAAAACCATCCTTCAGAACACGAGACCATCCGTCGGCCCCAAGTCCAAAAACCTTCGAGGGTACCCTCCCCCAGGACGAGCAAAAACATCCAGCAGGCACGAAGAACATTAGGGTAACCTCCCCGAACCGACCTCGATCTTATACACACGGTCTCACTGTAACTTTTCACCCTCGCAGGGAGAGGCAGCCTTCGGGGAGGCGCCGATGCCGGCGCCGGCAGTCTTCGGGGAGGCGCTGACGCCGGCGTGGACGGGGCTGGCCGCTTGCGCCTCCTGGCGAGAGGGGCGCGGTCGCCCCCCAGGGGGGACGCGGAAGCCGCGCGCGCCAAGAGCTTGGAGGCATCTGCTGCTCCTGCTGTCCCTCCTCCTGATCCTCCTCCTCCTCCTCCTCCTCCTCCTCTTCCTCCTCCTCCTCCTCATCCTCTTCGTCCCCCCCCTCTTCCTCCTCCTCCTCCTCCTCCTCCTCCTCCTCCTCCTCCTCCTCCTCCCCCCTCCCCTTCGCCCCCCGCCTCCCTCTTCTCTCTTCCTCCTCCATCTGTTTTTTCCCTCGCCAGGTCCTGCTGCTGTTCTTTCCTCCTCCTATCCATTCCGTCCCTCCTCCCCTCCTCTTTCTCCTCTTCCTCCTCCTCCTCCTCCTCCATCTATGCGCGAACTGACGCACAGAGACAAACGATCGCGTGCATTCGTAGTTGGCGTGCTGGGAGCATCGGCCGGACCTGAGCGCAAAGACAAGCGCAGACGCGGCCGTTTCGTGGACCGCACAATCTGGGCAGCGCAGGCGGAGACAACTCCTCGAGGCATCGTCTTCGCAACGAGCCTGGCATGTTCCAAGAGACCAAACAATGAATCATAATTTTCCGCCGATTGCATCCGACAGCTCAGTCTCACCATTTGCTCCTCCTCCACTGTAAGGAAGGTACGGGAAGGCCAAGAGAGGAGGGAATGATTGATGCCACTGGGTTACGCAGACGGGGGCCACGGGGCGGAATGGCGCGGGGGGGGCAAGGGGCGGGTGCACGGTTTGGCAGGGACGGGGTACGATCGGTCGGTCGGTTGGAATTAGCAGACGGGGGCCACAGGGCGGAGGGGGGGGCACGGTCGGTCGGCCGGCTGGAATAAACAGACGGGGGCCACGGGGCGGAAGGGCGCGGCATAGTCGGTCGGTCGGTCGGAATAAGAAGCAGACGGGGGCCACGGGGCGGAAGGAAAGGGCACGGTCGGTCGGTTGGCCGCAAAGCGCAAATGGGGGCCACGGGGCGGGGGGGCGCCGGGGGAGCAAGGGGACGGGTCTGCAAGGTCGGGCAAGGGGGTGGGCACGGTCGGTCGGTCGGTCGGAATAAGTAGATCCCAGGGGCCGCCAGGATCTTAATTTGAGAACGTGATGTTTGCTCGTATGTTGTTTTCGTATATCACGCTGGTTTAGGAGGGTTTGCCGTATTCGATCGTTTCCATGCTTTGTAACTATCGGAATACTGCGCGCGACGAGTTTCGACGCTCTTTGCGAGCCACGATTTCTCGGGCTGGCGGCAAAAGAGATAGCTGCCCGACACGCGCAGCAATCTACAGAGCAAGCCTTCCTGGCCGCTAGATTGAGCAAGTTGGGGCCACCTGTTGGCCCCTGAAAAATTCTCTAAAACAAAATCCTCGCATTGAGCGTGGAACGGCCTCGCGTGCAACAATCGGTAAGGGCCGCAAGATGCCACTTGATAGCAATAGAATTATGAGCTCGAGCATCGATCGGATCGGCGGCGCTTCGCCGAATCTCGGGCCGACGAGATCGACTGGTAGGAGGGCCGGGGGGAGGGGGGGGCAAAGGGCCAGCGATGCGATTGCGAGAAGAAGACGCGTTGCACGCGAGGTGGATGAGGATGTCACATGCGCTGGCATTCACGCGAATGCGGATATATGTGTTCTCCGAAGGGCTTCCACAAAGGCCGGGGAAACACATGGCCCAATAGCGCGGCACATCCTAAAGGCAGGGGGCGGGGGTGATTCGCCGTGGGCGCATTCGATCATCGCAGTGCGATTACCACGGGCCCCGCGCTCATCATCTTAGCTCCATTCCTCCATCCCACCATCCCGTCCACGCTGCGCTCATGTTTCCAAGCGGCTGTGGCAGCCATGGCTGGCTGGGCAAGTCTGCTGGTTGGCTCGGGCGCGGGCAACGTCGGCTGGCTGGCTATAGTCATAACGCGCGTGCTATTATGAGATACATCGTGTGCGTGCGTGTAACGTGCGTTGGCGTGCTGTCAGTTGCAGTTATATGGTATATATATGTATTTATGTATACACATGTATGTAGATATATACATCGCCGCGTGCACGGTGTGCCTAGCGCGTCTGCGCTATGAACTCTGCGACAAGTTCGCAAAACGCCGAGGGGTATACTTTGGGCGAAGCCTGATCTTTGGTCATATTGACCCAAACTCTGGTCTCCCATCCCGCGGCAGCCTTCCCATTTGCGCCGGCCCGAGCACGGTTTGAAACACGCGGGCCCAACGTCGTTAAGGGGGCGCGGGGGCCCGAAGCCGAAAGAGAACGTGATGCGCCCCTCTTGGAAGCACCTATGTGCATACGAGAAGCAGACAGAGAGTGAGCGGTAAAAATAGCAAGCCGCATTGAACTTGCCCAGCCGAAGAATGCGAGGTACGTTGTCAGTTTGCCAGCGTTAGTCAGGTTCAGGCTGGCCTGCCAGGAGCGGCTGCGAACGGGCGGCATCGGCGCGGGCGGGCAAGATGGGAGATCGGGCCGAGGCGGGGCGCAGAAGGTACGGGCGGAGAGGGGCAGGGGGAAAGATGAGAGAGCAATAGGGAGAGAGAAAGAGTGAGAGAGAACGAGAGAGATGGGGAACCGACATTGCCAGAGGGGCAGAGTACGACATCGCGGGGGCACCAGGGGCGGGCGGGGCGCCGATGCTTGAACGGGGGCGACGCGAAACATTGCAGCATCTCCCAGCCATGATACCGATGGGGGACACATGTACATGCGTCCGCCATCGGTATCGCGCTGAACGTCGGGCCACTTGGCGCAGTCACGGCACCCGCGGCGAGCTCTCGGCCAGGCGCGGCTGAAGGTGGAATCTCACCAGCCCTCTGGGCGTAGGTGGTTTAGGGTGCTTCCTCTTCCACCCCTCCTTCTTCCCCTTCGGGGGGAGGTTTGCCCCTCCCCCTGCCCCCGCACCCGTATACTTGGGCGCTTTTACTAGGGTGGTGGCCACATTTTGGCTCCATTTGGGCATCCGGTTTGACCTCCTGGGTTTTGGCCCCAGGTTTGATCGATCTCCTCCAAATAGGCCAAGCAGCGACCAGGAGGCCCACGTGCAGAGATCTCGAGATGGCCCCAAGATAACCCCAAGAGACCTCCAGGAGGCCCCCCACAAGGATCCCAAGCGGCACCAAAAGGCCCACCCAATGCACCCAAGACGCCGAGGAGCCCCCCCCCCACCACCACCACCGCCACCGCCACCACCACCACCACCCACCCACGACCGCCCAGGGACCCCCAAACCGTCCTAAGACGCTCAAGAGATGCACCAAGAGGCTCCGAGGAGCATCCAGGAGACCTCTGGCCCTTTTGCTTGCTCTCCTCCTCCTCATTCCTCCTCCTGTCCATTCTCGCCCTCATCCTCCCCCTCCGCCTCCTCCTCCTCATCATCTCATGTGCCCCCCCTTCTCCCTGCTCCCTCATCCATCCATCCAACTTTCTCATTCGCCCCCTCTCTCCCTCGCGCGGTTCGGCCGCCCCCCCTCTTTGCTCCCGCGCTTCCCTGATCGCCCCTCATCTCGCCTTGGCGTCGATTCTGGATGGGCTGGCGGGGCGGGCGGGGGCGAGGAGGTGAACGGGTAGATGACTCGCAGACAGGACAGGGGGCATTGTCGAGCAGCAGAGAAACGTGCATTTGGCAGTGCTCAAGGAAAGGTCGCCACCCAGTGCCCCGCCCCATTCACGAGAATGCGGCGGGCCCGAACCAGCGCTGCAACGATTGGACTATCCTGCACCACCCGCGCCCACCCTCAACAGGTAGCACGCGTCGTCCGCCCCTTCCGATCGATCCTCCTCTTCGCTGGAGCAAAACTTGGCGACGTGCGCCCAGCAGCCGCGATGGCACGCTGGGGCTTGCGACCTAACGCCGACAGCAAAACTTGGCGACGCGCGCCCAGCAGCCATGTTGGGATTTGCGATCTAACGCCAAGACCATGGCCACACGTGATTTTTTCGAGGCCAGGCAGGCCGACTGATCTCTTAACTCTGCGCGCGCGCGGCCAAGATGGCCGAAAGGACCAGGCTGGCCCGAATAGTGCACTCGCTCTGCTGCCACTCTGATGCTGGCGCCTTCGCGCGAGCTCAGCTGGCGCTCGCGTGGAGCCACGAGGTGCTCGAGTGGCCAGACTCACGCGAGCTCTCGTCCAGCTGCTGGTCCTGGGCAATCCTGATGGCCGGCCTGCAACCGGCCTTGTACGCCTTCTCCACTGCATCCGCGATCATCTTCGATGGAATCGTCTTGAACGCCTTCTTGGTGACAACGAGCCGCGTCGACGGGCCAAGCCCTCCTGCGCTCGTCTTCCCCGCGCTCTCAAGGTCGTCCAAGCGCTCCTTGTACTCGCTGCCGTACTGCTTCTTGTAGTCGTCGCATTGCTTCTTGTAGCCGTACTGATCGTCGTACCAGTCGCTGGCGGAGCCGCTGCCCTTCTGCTTGTTGCCGTCGGTGGCGGAGTCGCGGCCCTGCTTGTCGCCGTCGCCGTCGCCGCCCTTCTGATCGCACGCGAGCGGGCCCGTCGGCCAACCCACGACGACGGCGATCGCCGTCTTCTTGTTGACGACCCAGCCGTTATTAGGGAACTCATCGCCGATGTCTGGGTCCTCGTTGTAGAGCCACTGCCGCTCACCGCGCTTGGTCGCGAACAGCTTGATGGCTGCCCGGGCCTCGTCGTCGGTGAAGGCGCTGCGTAGGTGGAGGAACGACTCGACCAACTCCTGCTTGATCTGCTTTGGGGGCGCGTTCAACGGGCACTTGCCCCCCCCCGCCACTGGGAACCAGGCTGGCACGAAGCGGCGCCAATCCGCCATCCAACACCACCTCATCACCTTGTTCGCACCGTCGAGGGTGACCACCGGCTCTGCCATCGATCGTCTCGGCGCTGGCGGCGGCCGCTAGGCGCGGGCGCGGGCGGAGGTCGCTAGAGCCGAACAGCTTACGGCGGCATAAAATTAGCCTGGGTCTACCTGGCTTCGTTTCTGTAGTCGGTGGCGGGGGGCGAGTAGGCTGGTGAATA